TCCTGTGATGTTTAACTGGAATAAAACTGTTAAACCATCACAAATATATTATGTCTCAGTTTTCAGACAGAGAGAAAAATTGCTCCAAGGTGCTGAAATAACAGCAGACCTCCAGTTTCAGCACCACATTTCTTTTTCTTTTCTCACTGCTGTCCTCACTGCCTTCCTTCTCTCAAATGGTTGTGTTTAGTCAGCCAAATGTTCGCTTCTCACACAATCAAACAATCAAAATATTGAAATTGGTAACTGGTAACCAATTCCCCACATACAAACATTTTGCTAGTTAGTTAAGCTGTCTGGATTCTAGCTAGGTTAGCTTGCTCTAGATTAGTTTGCTAGCTAGCAAAGCAAGTTGACAAGTTCATATGTACGTGATTCAGATTGATACAGAACATAGAAGATACTGATAATAGTAGTGTTAATAATATGCAGTCTAATAGTAGGCTATAGACTTGAGCATTGTGATTACAACATTAGCATTATCATTACCAACATTAGCATTACCTAGCATTAAAGTTAGTTTAAAAAAAACGTTCTGACTTATAATTTTAAAAAGTGAACAGCGTCGCCCGGTCTGTAACATGCAGATGGTAGGATCAACATTTGGTGTAAACAGCATGACCCAGCCTGCTTTTCTGGTCACCACTGTTGCAAAGAGTAGTTATTTAAGTAACTGTAACTGTCCTGTCAGCATGAAGAAGTATATCAAGCTTTAACTCTCATCAATAAAGTATTCCCACCCACAGGACTGCCATTAATTCATTTTTTTTTCACACCAATATGTTGTAGATCAGCAGATCAGCAGTTTGTGAAATCCTCAAACTACCCCAGTCATTCATATTTTTCCCCTTTCTGACGTTGGATATGAACATTAACCAATGCTGTGTCTGTATGAATTTTCAAATTACATGTTTGATTGATATTCCAGGTGAAAAGAAGTACATAAGCAAATTGTTTGAAACCATTTATCTGATGCCAGATTATAAAACAATGAAACTGAACAGAAAACAACTAAAACCAAAATTTTATCAGGCTTTGGTTAGCTGGGTCTGTGTGCTGGAGAAGGCTTCTTGATGCCTCATGAAGTCTAAGTCAGACCATGACAAGTCCAGGGGGGAGAGATCTGCAGTTAAAAGGCCCGCTGTGACTGACATACATTGAGCTTTATATGGCACTAATTAAAGCTTTGCTTTTAATTTTCCAACAGATAGCCTCATCTGGACCACCTGCAGAAAGGTCAGTGGGCAGGACAGAACAGAACTGCAGAAACACACCAGAGATTTCAGCTTTACTTACACTCAGCTTGCCACTTGACAAATCTCAAAACCTGAAACCAAAAAACAACAAATATAATTTTATCAAAACTATCTTAAACACAAACAAGGACAATTTCTTTTTCAAATTATATGGGATAAACATACCTGTACCTGTTTCCAACATGATCCCTGTTCCACATGTGAGTTGTCTAACATTTATCTTTGGAGGATCTGCATTCTGTGAATGGGAATATTTCAATCAGACAGTCTATGTGGATGAAAAGGTGTAATACAAGAAAAAATCACAGAATCATTAAATGGTTTATGTCAAGAATATTACATAAATTCACATGAAAATAATAATTATTGCATTACAATCTCTAGTGGCTGTGATGAGAGACCTTCTGTATTCTAGGGCACCTAATCATTGCCTCTGGGATGGCCAGAAATCTGAAATTTAAAACAAGATATAAAAAGTATCCAAGATGCAGAGTAGATCTTAATGATAACTAAGTCTTCCTTATTCCTAATGGTAGATCTGCACACCAGGGATGTAGCCAGAATGATCACAGGCCTACCCAATCAAATGGGGAAAGAATATTTATTAAACCAAATTTTTAAGATAATGCTATTGTTGTATTATGGCCAATCAAATCTTTTCATCAGCCCTCCAACCCTCCAATCACTGCTTAGCAATCATTGCTATCCACTTTTGCCTGTTCAATATCAGCACATCAGTTTTTGAATTTGAATCACCAGTTGCAAGACTTGAGATTCCGTCCAGTAGAGTATGTTGTTTTCTGCTCATCCAAGGCCAAAAACAAATGTCAATGGGCCTCATTCACCAACTGTTCTTCAAAAGAAATTTCTTTTAAAAACCACCAGTTTTTATGAAGATTTTGACTTCTCTGTATCCACTTTTCTCTGTTTTCTCATTTGAGATTTGTTCTCAGGGAAGAACAGAACCTACACACAGTCAAGAGCACAAAGGTGTGAAAAATTATGTAGTTTAAGAATATGTCATGAATCTGACGTAGACTTTTTCTTAGAACCTTTCTCAAGAACAAATTTAAGAAAAAACTTTTGGAAGATCTTGGTGAATGAGGCCCATTGTCATCAGATTTCTGTGAATTTGATATATACAATAGGGCGGCGCAGTGGCGCAGTGGGTAGCGCTGTTGCCTCACAGCAAGAATGGCCTGGGTTCGATTCCCGGCCGGGTGACCAGGGCCGTTTCTGTGTGGAGTTTGCCTGTTCTCCCCGTGTCTGCGTGGGTTTCTTCCGGGTACTCCGGTTTCCTCCCACAGTCCAAAAACATGCAGTCAGTCTGATTGGACATGCTGAAATTGCCCCTAGGTGTGAGTGTGAGTGTGTGTGTGACTGTGTATGTCTGTCTGTCTGCCCTGCGATGGACTGGCGACCTGTCCAGGGTGTATCCTGCCTTCCGCCCAATGACAGCTGGGATAGGCTCCAGCACCCCACCGCGACCCAGAAGGATAAGCGGTTTAGATGATGTATGTATGTATGTATGTATGATATATACAATGCTGTTTTACTGTAATTGTCACAGCCTCTAATGCTTCCACCTGCTTCCACCTCCTGATCTAATGATTCCACAGGTCATATGTCACTTTAATTGGATTTTCACTGTTACACAGATTTATCTCAGGACCAAATCCATCAAAATATACCCCTCAAGCAGTTCTTTTGAGTGTTTATCTACTTGAATAGACCGGACTGTGTACTTGCAGAGCTTTAGCTAGATAGGATGGAGTGACTTCTAACAACATGGAGAGCCTGGATCAGGTCTGAGACCACCCTCTAAGCAATGTAAATGCAATGGAACTTTTCCGCATAGTTCGTAAAATCTTCCCAATCACAGCACAGCAGTAAGAATATCTAAGATAAATTCACAAAACGCAGTTAAGGTCTAATTCATTTTTATTTTCTTTTTTTAAAAAAAGTTTTTTTTGTGACTATATACATTCAAAACATTTTCCAGTGATTACGAGTCCCAACATAGTGTGACCAGTGACCCTAGGACATGTCCAACAACACTAACCTATATCTGATCACAGTAGAAGTAACACTGACCTGCCTGAAAACAACGTTTAGACCAATTTGCGCTACAGTTCATAATCTAAATGCAGTTGAATGTGTCTCTTAATTTAAATATGGTAAAGGGCTGACATGTGCAAGACAAACTACATGATATTTATCAATCATATTACTGTTTCAATAATGTAGCTGAGTATGTTCAATATGGCATGCAGCATATAACTATTATGGTAACTTGGTTTTGCTTGTAATGTTGTTTTCCTTTAATTGTTATTTTCCACCCTACTTGTAGTGGATCTACAGCAGAATTGGGATTTCTAGAATCTTCAAAAGACTGTAATATGAGGATATGACTGTATGTAAATGTAACATTTAAGCCACACTTTACCCCGTGAAAGAAAGGTGATGGTATATTAATACTTAGAGTGTCTCAATCAGCAGTGCGCTTATGTATTTCTAGCTCTCTTTTACTGCTGGATGATAGTGGTAACAAAGTTAAGGGGTTAATAATGCCAAAAATTATAAACACTATTAATTTAAAAAAAAACAAAAAAACTGGTAATGCATTTTCCTAGTTTGGCCCTTCTAACCATCCACTGCAGCACCCACATTTAAATACAGCTTTTAAATAGCAAATCCCTCAGGTAATTTCCAGCTACAGTCATGCTGTAATTAATCACAATTAATTGCATTATATTGTGTAGTTAATTGTGATTAATTCACATTTGGTAAAATTTAACTTTGAAGAAAGATTTTTCCATTTAAAAACAGGGCATTTTGTTTAAGCTACATGAGTGGACAAATAAGCTCCCACAGAATGTATAAATTACCTTCAACAATTAAATATTATCCTGAACATGAAAATCACATGAATGCACATGAATTCACTGCGATTAAAGGAGACAGCTTTCGCACAAGTTGTGGTGCTTTATTTTCCAGCTGTTGTTGGCCACAGCTACACCGTACATATCATATACCAGAGTTTTCTTTCTCTAACAGCTCATTCACTACTCAGCTCACACCTCCTGTCTCGCTTTCACGCACACACCGGGGTGGCTCCTAGCCCTGCCCTCTACAATAAGAGTCCTAAGCAGAATAAACCCAGTGAATAAACGCTGAAGAACACCAATCTAAAGCTAACGTGTAAAACATTTCTAGCACACACTACAATATATATGTATTTTTTAAATACTCTTTGGGACTGAGCCCCCAAAAATCCTAGAATCCTTGCAAAATCCTAGAATCACCCCTACAAAACACACTGCTGATGCAGCAATATCAGTAACATTAGCACCAAAAGGCACCTTCGGTAGATGACTCTGGACAGTGCTCACGAGAAAACTATGGATAAATCACTGAACAGTAATAGTAAAGTGGACAGCTCCAAGTCCCACGAAAGAAGACATAATACAGACATGTGAGAAGTATGAGGACAAGAGATTTACAATCACAGAGGATTTGGAACATGCAGCCACTCTTGCTCTCGGTGGATGAAAGTGATGGCCAATGATGAAAACTAGAAACTATATTTATACTATTTTGATGTTCACCCTGTGTTCATATGATTTTCTGGTTCAGGTTCATATAGAAAGATAGTAAATACACATAGCTATAACTGAATGCACTTCTTTTAAATGGAAAAAAAATCTCTCTAGGGTCAAACTTGAGCAAAATAGACAAATGTGATTAATCATGATTATTTTAATCCTTTGACAGCCTTACTGCGTACATATCCAACTTCCCTCTGATCTCTGACTACAAAGACAATGTTAAACGGACCTCAGTGAACATGCTGGTTAAAAGGAATTGGGCAGCTGGATTTTCATGTTTCTATACTTGGAATAACACTACAGGTATGCTTTATTATGCCATGCCGTATGATAACTAGTGATTACTTTGTATTTCTTCACAATCAGTGAATTACTGTCTTTGTAATTATGTGTGTCAGACCAAGGTGCATCAATGAATTTCAAATGCTGTTAGCAGACTCTGTAAAGATGGTGTAACACGTATTCATGAGTTCATTGTGATAGGTGTTTGAACAGCCTTTTAAGTCAGCTGGCTCTTGTGCTGGAGAGGTGGCAGTTTTCCTGTGTGGCTCCAGGTTTTCCTGTTAACAAGCAGGAATTCCCTTAAGTGCATTAGATCACATGCAGTTTCAGTAAGTACTGATGCCCTCATATATGTTTCATTAGATATAAATATAGTACCCATTTCTTGCAAGTAAATTCATCATGGTTAGGTCATACCGAAGATATATCCTGATGTGGATTCCTGCTGGAAGGATAACACCTAGTGAGCAAATGCACACATAGGAGGTGGATAAAATGCCCAAGAAGCTCACAACAGTGGTGAAAAAAACGGTCTCATCCTTTGTTTGTTGTAATGTGTTGGAATCCGAATAGACGAGAAGGCAGGATGCAAGTGCGACCTAGCAGTTTTATTGTTGGCCATTGAGAAGGCAGCAAAGTAAAAAAACAGAAACAAAAGAAAAGCAAAGTAAGGAAAGTACTAAAGAAATGAAAAGAACCACTAAAAGAACAGAACAGAGAACAAACTACATATAACAGCTCGAATTAAGGATCAGCAAAACACACTACAAACAACATCAAGCAAGGAACAGACCAAACCAAGGGGAATAAATAGACAAAGAACACATGAGAAACACCTGGGGCTAATGAGAGGGTGGGGTTACAAACAACACTCAGGTGAGACAGATGACTGGGGCGGAGACAGACCAAAACAATAAATGCACATGAAACAAGAAAAATGAGGGACGACAAACAAAGGCAGACAGACAGGAACAAGGACAAAGCAGGGTAAGACAGGATGTTACAGTTGTAGAATTATATGATGTTTATGGTGAGCTAATGTGTTTCTGTGTTCTGTATACAGCATATTATTGCAACAACAATATTTGCATAATTAGGGACAAATATATTGCGTCAGATACCTGTTGAAATCCACAAACAAGTTGCCAATAAAAAGAAGGACACACATTAAAACAAGGTGAACTTGTGGGAAGTTGTGTTTGATGTTTGACATGTATTGTGAGGTTTATAAAACATGACAGTTGTCATTAGAAGTTATATTTTATACGCTTCCCCCCACAAAATCTTTGGAATGTCACAGGAAAACATTCCAATCAACTGAGCACCAAGTTTTGCTTTTAGTCATGGAAATGACCTCTTGTTCTTGATATGTTTCACTATAATGATCCTGTGGTTGGAGAGGAACATTTTTTGAGATACCTGTATGTGCACGCCACACATTTCTCGACTTGTCCATTGTACTCCACAAGCTCCCCGGTGGACAGTGCAAATCTCTGACCTCACTGGTTCCACCTAAAGCACAGTAGGTGAAAGGATGGTGTGTGCTGCATCGTGAGGGGTTGTGCTCTCAGATGAGGTGGTCAGTGCAGTGCTGCCACACAGTTTACCCTCCTAAGGACTTGGTGCTGAGGTCAAGAGATGAAAGAAGTGAAATATGTGCAAACTCTGAAGTGTGTTACCATAGGTACTTAGATATGTGGGTCTTCAGCACTCTCCGGCAGCAATGAGCTCAGCAGGTCTCTCCACCAATTTGTCTCTGTGGCCTTGCTCCTCTTCCTCTTCCTCGTACAGGGTGTGGTGGATGCTGAGAAGCGGGTGTGAGGGGTTGCAGCTGAAAGACACAGGCTGGCTCTCAGGCTCTGGGTTCTGTTTGAGAGGTTCCTTGGTCTTGGGGGAGTCGGTCGGAGGCAAGTTAGCTGTCCCCCCGTTCATATAGGAAGTGGTGGGGAGGGTCACTGTGGAGAAGGTAGTGGTGGTGGACTGAGGAGGAGCATCATTCTTTTCTAAAGGGTTGAAGTGGGCGATATAAACAAAAACAAATGACAATATTTTTTGCAGATCAAGTCTAGTCATAAATTATTACATCTAACCCTGTAACCACATTTTCCATGAAGAATCACTGCTGACAGAATTAATAAGATGATAAGTGTTCTAATCTGTATTATCGCTGTTTTAGGTGAATGCAATATTCTTCAGAATGGACAGAAGACTCACTCGATTATTTACGCTAAAAATAAACCCTCATAAAAAAATGCATCATTACCTGTGAGAGCAGAGGAGACGTGAACCACAGAGTGCGTGCCCTCGATGTACACAGTGTCCAGAGAGTTTTCTGCAGCTGGTGGCTCTGGATTGGTCATCTCTGATTTAGGCTTCTGAATGTTTGCCATATATGGATGGACATCCAGGGAGAAATTACGAGTGTGCTTCTTCTCCATCCCATTGTTTGTTTCTGAAGCTGTCAAAATCATGACAAAAATCAAATAAGTGTAATTACATAAAGCAGATAAACCTGTTAAAGATGATCAGGAACTGCTGAAAATGTGACATGCCCCCACATTTGCAGAATTTACTTATAAAACATAGTAAACAGTCATGACATTACAACCGTGTTGTAACAATACTAGAAACAGGCCTGTCAGTTGCACTTTGCACTGACTCCTGATAGGAGCAAATTGATTTCTTTCCTGGGGATTCTTTTCTAATGAAAAAATCAATATGATCATCACTGCCCTACATGTCTGGTGATGTCAAACTATTTGTCATTTACCTGTGGGTGGATGTTGTGTGCTCTTGCTGTCCAGTAGAGGGGCAATGAAGTTATCTGCAACAGTCTTCCGCCGCAAAGGTTTAGGTTTATCTGCTTTGATGCTGTTTTCCAGTCGAGTCAGTGTTAAGGGTTCCTGTACAATCATTAAGACACAATGGATTTCACTGAATACATCTGAAAGATGCTATTGAAATGATGTTTATCAGACAGTTCACTTTTGAGGATTATTATACAAGTTTGGACACACTTCACTGAAAGGTTTTCATAAGGTTGAAGGTTTTGATCTACAGGTTAATGTTTAACCCCTTACATGGCCAGGGACTGTTGGCAGGCCCAAAGTTTTATTGCACACTTCTATAACCTAAGCATAGCTCAACCAGTTTGCATTGAAGTCCCTGTAGTTACTGAATAATAAGCCTGAGTATGTGATAAGCCTGGGATATTACCGGCTTAAAGACCCAGCACAACTCATTTTAAATATCTGCCAAAAAACATAGACTTTGGTAAACAATTTCTTATGTTACAAGGAACATTGAAAATATGGTCTTAAAATGAGTTGTTTGTACAGCATCCTTTCTCTGACAACTTACTCCATTTTGCTGTGTAGGTCTGAACCTTGGCATATTCATGCCATGAATGACATCTTGATTGACAGCCTCTGTGTTGACAGTCATGGTCTAGTTTAGTTTCAAGTATAGCCTAGGGTGGAAATAGCACCACACTAACGCAATTTTGCATCTATAAGCCAGAGAGAACAATGATACGGAATGCAAACTGGGGACGGAATGTACAAATATCCTATGTAACCTCTCTTACAAGTAAAAGACCTTGTGAAAACAAATCCTACGTAAGAACATGTTTTTAACAACCATGAGAAATAGTTAAAAGCCTCCAGTTTGAAGTCAATGTAAATCATAAATCATAATGCATTTTCCTTCCATACCATGACATGTCAGAGTGAAACACAATGTCTCTAAGCTTGCTGAGCAATTTTGCCTAATAATGGATAGAGATGGGGGTGCATGGTGACGTAATCAAAAAACCAGAAGATGTTCAAGGTTGTTTTCACCCCAATTCATTCATCCTTCGTACTTCATTTACTGAAGTCTGCACCGGAGTTTGGGTTTTTCTCGCATTGTATCTTTTTCATTTGGTCTCGTCACAATGCAATCGCTGAAGTGCATCAAATTATACAAGTGTGTGTTGATTGGGCAGAAACTTAGAGTGGAATTGGTGGAGGAACGCTCTTGTAGCAGCAGCTTGTTTTTTCTGGGTAATGGTTCAGTTGTTTGGTGTGCACCCAAATATGGCAAAAGTGTTTAAAATGGACTAAACTAAAGAAAATCTTTCATTAGTCAAAATCAAACAAGGTAGTTGTGAAAGCCAATGAAATGATTTTTTAAATGATAACATCAATTGTACTTGATGTGACCAGGGACATGATCTAACAAGGTAAAAAAGGTTGACTTTAAGTGTTCACTAAAGGATTCACTTTAAAACTGTGACATACAAGTAAAAATATATTGTATCATGCATCAATATTAAAGTCAATGTTATGCATGTAAGACTTACTACACTCAAAGTGGGAACGTGGACGTGAAAATCATGTTAGTTTCGGCCATTTTATTATTTGATTTAATTATATTAGCGTTTTGTTAGTAAGGTACAAAGTGAAGTTTTCAATATGAATGACCAAAACATTAAACATCCATTAACTTGGTACAGGTTGTGCTAGGCTGTGTATAGGATTAGACCACAGGCAAAAAAGCACCAGTTCACTACAGACCCAACTCATCTGAAATTGAGCGTAGAGGAAGATGCATTCCAATTGCGCAAATAGTTGCCTACAAAATGAACAGTACATACAGACTTTTTAAGTGTGTTAAAAACAATAGTGAGTGGAAATGTTCTGTTTGAAGGGGACTTCAAACTGCATAAGGTGCAGTGAGTAATGGTTTATTACTATGTGGGTATTTGGCAAGAACGTTTACCAATTATCAGTCATTTACACTGATGTAATTTGGCATTGTCTCATGTTTTTTTTTCTGCAATTAAATAATTTTTACTACTTATTTTTAAATTAAAAGCCACATGTCACTGCAAAATGTAAACTTTGCTTTGTAAGTAGTCACCACTACAAAAATATTGTGCTGTTTATGGGCCATGCTACACTCAAATTTCATTACATTTATGCTAAGCTCTAGCTTGCACAAAGACTTGAGTAATTGTATTCTGTAATTTGTTTATCATAGTTTTACAGGGAATCCTTCCATAAAGATTTGCACTTGAGCTTGTTTCCCTCTAACTAGCCTGTTAGTCTATTAACTATCTGCTGAGCTAGTCAGCCAGGTCTGGCAGATTATGTTCCAGTTAAAGAGGCTGTTAACAGCATCCAGAAGTCTCATATTATTACGAGAAGCTCTTTGGGGAAATTGGGGTGTGTGAACTTGGGAAATAATTAAGCAATCAAATCGTAAGTGGGCTGTTATGCCAATAACATCACTGCAGACATGAGCCAAAGGAGAGTGTTGTAGAGCTAAAAGATTGGAGAATAATCCATTTTGAGAGACAATGGAAGAGAGTGAAATAGTTTTGTAATGACAAAAATAAAATGTTATGGAATGTATTTCTCTATGGCAATTATGTGTCTCTTTGATGGTGATGTTACAGAGCAACTTACTCCCTTTATGCATCTCAAAACTGAGCTTTTGTACCGTTTAATCTACACTGTAAAGTTGAGTGAAGTTGAGGAAGTTGATTTCACAATTCATGAATATGAAATTTAATGTAGACCATGATTTACAGTCAATTGGCAGATAAGGCCAAATAAGAGAAAGGTGAATTAGGGACAGTGTAAAAATATTTTATAGTTACATGAACTCCTCAGTGTACATGTTATACTTAAACAAAAGTAGGCAAACGATTACAGACTGGCAACTAGGTTAATATTTTATTAAATACTTTGCTGGGCCTTTTGATGCTTGAAATTAGTTTCATAGAGATGTTTTTTTTTCCAAAATAACAACTCATCACACAGCAGCCAACATGTGTTCAGGCTATGCTAAACTTCTTCATGACATTTGGAAAAGCACATTGGGTGCTCCTGAACTTGGAGAGAATGTCAAGACTGCACAAAACTGTTTTCAAGACATTTCTAAAGAATCTACAATATATGATAGTTTTTTGAAAGCCTGTTGAAGTGTTCTTTAAAATAGCTCTGTGTAAGGAATCTGTTTAAAAATGCATTAAAGCAGTGCTAAGATGACTGGATGCTGTGTTGACTGTGCAATTTGGTGGACTACTGTTAAAGTGGAGACTACGAACTTAGCATATTATATGAAGATGCAAATTCATGTGGTAAAAAACTTAAACCAGTGCATAAGTAGCTAGACCACACAGAAGTTTTTACATGCATTAAATGTGTTTTTTGCATATTTATTTACAATGGTCATCCTTAAAAAGTGTTTCTTTTGTTCCTATATTGACATAAAGTCTTTCAATTAATAAAACTATTCATTAGGACTATGCTTATTGAGAACTCAGGTTGGCTTAAAAGTGGCTACTTTAAATACAATTTAATTATAGTTATAGTATAGTATAGTATAGTATGTTTAGGTCTGTTAGTAAAGGGGTTGTTATTGTGTTTTTCATTGATCATGCAATGTTTCCATGCTGGTCCCCATCTTGTTTCAAAATAATGTGACATCCTAAATCATTTTTTATCACTGAAAAGCATTTTAGACTTTGATGATTATGATACTAATTCTACTTGTGGTAACTCTTACTTTAAAGGGTTGTGGCAGAGGGTTAGATGTTGGGATCCACTTGATCTTCTTCCGGGGTCTTTTCACAACAGTCTCTCCTCCCAGCTCTCCCACCCCCAGTATAGAGGGATCGATGCTTGGGTCAACTGTCTGGATCCCAGAGTCTCGAACAGTTGGTGTGGCATCATGGTTGGACTGTGCTAATGCAGCTAACAACTGTCGCACCACATTGTCATACATCAAGTCACTCTCATTAGTGATAAAGTCCAGCCTGTTGAGAGACTTGATGTGATCTCTGTTCTCGTTACAGAACATAGCCAGGATGTTAATGTCGCAAAACTGCGACTTCTGCCAACGCCGCCGTGTCTTTATGCCGACTTTGTGCAGCTTGTCAAAGACGAAGTTGGACTTTCGCACCACAAACAGATGTAGTAGGTTCACTAAAATAATGAGGTTCATGGTACAGAGCAGCGCAATGTCCACCGCAGCCATGATGCGCTGCAGCTGCACGGCTGGCAGCTTGCAGTTCACGCTTAGCCGCAGCTCGGGGATGCTGCTGATGTCCGGCGGCTCGCCCAGCGCACAGGTGAACTCGTTCTGCCGCTGCCAGGCGTAGTATGTGCTTAGGTAGGTGATGGGAATAGAACTGAGGCAGATAATGGCTAAATGCCTTGCCAAATATAGCTTGGCTAAAAAGTTACTTTGCCCTCGTCGCTCTAGATATTTCTCAAAGAGGTTCTGCTCAGGGCTCTTCTCCTTCTCAGCATTCTCAATGATCTCACGCCGCTCCCGCTCACTGATTCCTGGACCTTTGGACTGGATCTGCTTCTCGATCTTGGGCGCTCGCCCCTCGGCTGCACGGTGGTAGCAGTTGTCTATCTCTTGGAGGAGGAAGTTGAGTTCAGAGGTAAGGCGTGTGGAGGCAAGAAACTCCCAGCCCAGTGCTGGGATGTACATGATACCTGCAAATGCCAGCAGGGCATATGGCAGAAACTTGTGCTCGAACAATGACGGCCGGAGTTCAGGGTCAACACCAGGTATGGCGTCCCGTAGCTCTGTCCAGCAGTAGCCTCTGGCGTAGAGGGCCTGGTCACGCGTGAAGTTGTGCGGGGTGTAGCAGTATATTGACTCCTCTAGAAAAGAATGACAAGCAAAAGCAATGAGAAAGGCTTCTTTTATGTGTTTATCCTTTTATAAGATGATAGGAATCATGACAACCACTAAACCATGTGTCAGATACTTTTACACAATATTCTTGAGGCAAAAACAGTCTACTAGTGTGAGCTGTAGAAGTGTCTGCTTGGGAATAGTCTGTCATCAATTTCCCATTAATTAGATTGTGCTTTAGAACATCAGACAGCAGAGGAGCCAGTACAGCCTTGAGGAATGCTAGCAATTCTGATGTAATGGACATGAATGGTACATTAGTAACACAACACTATGCCATGTCCAGTGTATACACCTCTCTCCAGTGTTGTACGTACCCAATGATTTTGGACTCCCTTAAAGAAACAAAATACCCTCAAAAACTCCACTGCCACTCCAGTAAAGTGCTACAGTGCACACCCTATGCTGATTCCAAAGGAGGCTGCAAAACAACTAAAAAACAAAGTGATATTTATTCTAACTCCCTTCATTACATTTTACATCTTAAATCACTATCATATGCCCAGATGTGCTCTCGCATCAGTCTAACTTTTCCTAACCCTCCAGTCTATTTAGATCTTTCATGTCTATCACGTTTGTGTTCTCAGGCAACAAAATCCCATCTAGAGTCCCACTGTCCTCTTCCTTTGCCTCCTGCCTGCCCAGCTCTGTGGTAGGTCTCAGTGTGGTTTATGCTGCTATGCAGTCAAACTGACTCAGCATTCGGGTTAAACCCCCTCTCTCTCTTTCTCTCCTTCTTACCCCTCTCTCTCATGCTCCTTTCTCTTTAATCTGTCCACTGATCTCCACTGCAAAAATCAGCACTGCGCACTTAACCCCTTCTTCACTGGCAAGCCAGTGTCCCACTCAGGTGAAGAACAATAAAGCCATTAGTGGAAGAGAATGTAAAACAAAGGCACATTTAAACCATTAATCAGCAGCGTCACTTTATCACATGTAGAACAGCGACAGTGTTGTTCACACAGAATTTTGTAACAGTGTGTAATGACGTATGTACACAGAATACATCTTTAAAACAGTGTCTTTGTAAGTGCCTGATAAAAGCTATAATAAAAAAGCAACTAAAGGCTTGGATCTTGAGAAAGAGAGAGAACAAAGTATGTGTTGGTAATAAGAGTTTGAAAAGAAAACAGTACTGTAATTGCCTTCAAACAATACTACTATGGTATATTAAATTCAGACTAAAAGCATAAAGGATCCATGAGTTTGCAGCTGTATAGCATATAGAGAGCATTTTGAAATTATTCAATCCCCTTGAAGATGTTAAGAATCTCTGGACTGCTTATAGTTATTTTTAGCCAGCATTTTTACTGTGAACTCATATGGTCTAACCAAAGCCAAAGTAAGTTATTTGTCTGCAGATAGTTTAATGATAGAATGATAGAAAATGAAAATTTCAAACAAGCTTCTTACATAGTCAACCCTTTGAGCTCTAGGAGCTCCAAGATTGTACAGATAAAAAAAATCCCAACAATTCAAACTAATTGCGACATTTTCCAGATAAATAATTCCTGGTCATGATGTGAACCTAGAGGACAAAAGTTAGAAAAAAATCAAATTCAAAAATTCAAATTCATAAATGAGGAAAGGAAAAATAATGTCTAAGTATTTGAATCCCCAAGTAATAACTGTTGGAACAATAAGGAAGTGGAAGCTGCATTACAGAACACAGACACCAGAATAGGCCACCCATGAAAAGTCAGCATCTGAACAAGATACAGGCTTTGTGAGAGAAGCCACAGATAGGAAATACTTTTTAAAGAGCTAGAGTCAGTTGCTGACAGTTGAATAATGGTGCCCTGACTAACACATTCAATAACTGTGTATAAAACTGGCCTGTCAGGGAGTAGAAACAAGAAATAAGCCATCACACACGAAAATAGGTGTGTAGTGCACCTAACATTGATCGTTTCTTAAAAAATAGGCTATCACTACAGTGAAGTGTGGTGGTGGTAGTATCAAACTGTGGGAATGATTTTCAAGCAGAGATCTTGTTAAAACTGAAGGAAAAATGGACAACAAAAAATCCTAGGAATATAGAACTTGCTTAATCCTGCCAAGGCCAGAAAAAAAGGGGAATGCCCTACAGTGGAATACCTTTGTGATGAGTTGACAATAAAAAAATACTGACAGGAAAAATATGTAAAATGCTGATGCATTTCAAAGGGGTTGAAAAATTTTCCCAAGTAAATAACTCAATTTGACACTTTGTACTTAGACATCTGTTGCATTTGACTGAGACACACACACTTTTCTCAAAGCACCAACCTGCAAAGTTCCGTGTGAAGACCAGAGTGACTAACAGGATGGGGATGATGACCGTTCCTATGGTGACAACTCGGTCAAAGGGCAGCTCCAGTTTGAGCTGTACCATGAGACCAGCAAGGGCGCCACCTTTCTCATCCTGAGAGGAGCCAGGCAGAATCAGCTCCTTCAGCTTCTCCCCAGCGAGCAGAGCCGTGGCCATGTCCAAGTTCTGCTCAAAGAGGTTCTGCATCCAGCAACCAGGGCCCGCCCACAACTAAACCCACAATGCTCCTGACTCAATTGTTCGGATCTCAAACCCGTCAGCCAATGTATTGGCCGAGGGCTCTTGTTCTTCAAAACGTAGTCAATGATGTTGTGTAGAGGATGCTGTGTGTTGAGGGATGAAAATGGACACAGTCACAGTAGAACCATTTTGGGAGGCCTGAAATGGCTTGTCCAGATGCTTGTTGTGCTCTGTCTTAATTTGTGTAGTGCTGGGCTAGATCCAAACAGTCAGAAGTTGAGTGAAAGGGAGATCCGGTGTCAATATGTGCTTGTGTTCTTGTAATGAGGACTAATGGAGTCATCTATGGTCTCTTCCCACACTAACCCTGCGGACGAAGGACATACAACAAGAAAAAGAATAAACAAATATGGCCTTTATCTTATGGATTGTAACTACAGATTTATAGGCTGCACCTGCATGTGCTACATTGTAAGACATTATTTTTCATCATTTTAATGATGATGAGCATGAAGGAATATACACTGACAGCAGCAAATTATAATTTTCTAAAATACTGGAGCTTGGTCATCATAATCTACATTATTTAGTATTATGATAATATGACCTTTTTTTAATATGCTGTCCTTGTGACACCCCCATACACTCAGACACTCTTTAACAGCGTGCTCCTTTAACTCTTGTGAAGTGTTCCTGTGTGGGCAGTCTACAGAGAGCATACTATTTAGTGGCCAAGGGCAAAATGCCCTCCCTATGTCAAACACTGAGTCACTTCAGCATATCCTTATCACAGCACAAAAATCATTGAAAAGTTTTTATGTCAAAAAAAGAAACATTTCTTAGGGAAAATGTAGATAGATCCAAAAACTGTCCTTGCCCACAGCCAATAAAAAACAATAACAAGATTTTTTACCCTTTTGTGCTAAAATCAATTTACCTTGCTTTGAGTTAGTGGCATCAATAAAGATCTTTCTTCCCAATTGCAAGAAAAATGAGGCATAAGCATAAATGCCAAGAAAAGGTATCTGAAAAGCTTTGTTTGCACATCCCATGAATATATGATCATCAAAACAAGCATCCTACCTTATTATTGTCATTTCAAGCCTTTGAGATTCTTATGCAGCTAACACTGCTCACCTGCCCTAAAGCTGCACAATACAGCATCTGTTAATCATTCTTGCAGTACTGACCTTTGCAATGCTAATACTGTAGAAGGTTGAAATACACAAACGAGCCTCTAATGAATCACAAAATTGTGTATTGTGTACTGTGAGCATTATGACCAGTCTTAAAGAGTCTGTGAGAGGTTTGATGAATCAAAACAGTGAAGAGATCTAATAATCATCAATATTTTGGTCAGAATAATGCAGCCAGTCTCTAATCATAGTGTCACATCATGGAATTCTTGTACTGTATTTCACTCATAAAGCAAGATATTCTGTCCTTTCACACATACAGTGTGAATAGTATGATATATTCACTGTTATACAAACATAATTAAGAATGAGGTGGGTCCTTTTTGGGTTTTAAGTGTCCCCTCAACCCCCAAGGTTATTTATTCAACAACTCCCTAAATTTCCTTTCAATACTTTCTTTGGATGCAGTCTTAGCTGCAAATATTTGATGCATCTCATTAAAAATACAATCAAAATAATTCTTATTTAAATCCTTATGTAAATCTTATAGAAACATTACTCTTTATTTGCATGAGAATACTTTGTACAAGATGTGATTATGTTTAGTAAAACTTTACAAAAGTCTTAAAGAAATATCATTAGAAAAATCTTTTTGAGACAAAATGTTCCCTGTCCATTTATAGTCAAAACTATGTTTTTCTTTGTTATGGAATACTTGGAAAGATAAACATGAACGCAGTGACCTTTACCCTAGTTAATTTTAATGCTGGAAATGTTTAAGTGTTTTAGGTAACCCTCTTAAATTGCTTTTGCCACTTGAATCTGAATTGGCAGCATACACTCTGGGTGGTCTATTTGTTCCATAATGAGGAGTGTGTTTTGCTAGAGGTAGATATGTGTACACTCTCTGTTCAAGGTCAAATTTGGTCACATATGTAATCATTGCAAAACTTTTCTTTTGTTTAGTAGAAAATGATTTGTTTTCTTAAGGGTGGCTTTTTTTTCCCCATCAAACTGGGGTCTCTGGCCCCCAGCTCACAGCATCTTGTTACAGTAATAGGCTATTTAGTCTTGCTCTGCCTGCTGAGGTAAACTGCTTTGGGGAAAAGCATCAGCTGTCATGTTAATGTGGAATCAAATTTGATGGCATTTCTATTTTCAGCACATTGGAGTGAACCTCGTACTGACCACATCTAATGGCCTATGGTCAATATGCTTCCACGCAAAAGCCCTTTTTCCATGGCTGTAAATATTGAGAACTTCAGAGTTGCATTTTCCATTTAAAAAGAACTCATAATGTAACAGGAGACTGGTCACACACATAAACGTTCTCTGTCAAATAGCCACACAGCAAAACAGAGAATGAATGAATGAGTGAATGCACCATTGTATGTTCATTTAACACTATAAGAGTTAATTCAGTGCAGTAGGTGTTCTGGGGGGGTTGCTGTGTAGTTTTGTAATGACAAAGACAAATCACTGAAACTCTCTCTCTCTCTCTCTCTCTCTCTCTCTCTCTCTCTCTCTCTCTCTCGGGAAGCTGTGCTTGTTCATTTGCTAAGACCTCACCATTTACCTGCTCTTTATAACAAAAGCCCATGGATTTTACCCACGAGTTGTTTAATGTGAAGCCCACATGTGTGTTAACAGGCCTACAACTTGAAAACTTACACTGTGATCTCCCAACCAGATACAAACTGCCTAGCTTTAAAAAGCCAACCGGCTGAGAGATGTACTACCGGCCGGCTGACAAAATGACAGAGGACTGAACGGCATGTTCACATGATAGTGTTAAAGCACGCAGCTGACTGTGCATAAAACAGAACGATGGAAGCGCGCGCGACCGTTAAACACCTGGCGCGCGCCGCCTGATTAAGTAAGAGGAGCTGTCCACTCTGTGGTGCTGAAGTGGACAGACAACACTCGGGGATTTGGCAGCTATGATACGGCACATACCTGTACCAGCGGTCTCCGTTCACCTGACAGCGGTCTCGGAAGGGCACATGACGAAACGACGACGAAATTGTTGCTATCTAGGAAAAGCACAGAGCTCAGCATCGCTGATGAAGCTAGCAGAGAGGATATGAGAAATGTTGTACTCACCGATTCGTGAGCATCCCCCGGCGACTCAGGGGTTAATCTGCAGTGCGGGCGAGCCGTTATAGCGTGTATCCGGGCACACCGGTTTGGACCGCCTCCCCCTTCCACCACCCCCCAATACCCCTCCCTCCAATCTTTCATCTCTTCCTCTGTCTCTCTCTCTCCTGGTCTGCCTTCCCCTTCTGTCCTTTATCCTCAGAGTCCTCAAGGAGAACCGCTTGTACCGCACAGTAATTCGCTGGTTCGCTTCCTCACACTAACAGGAGACAGCAGGAGTTCACCAAACAGCGCGAGGCGAACACCAATCCTACTGCACGAAGTTGAGAAATAACGTCACGAAGACGCGACTTCGCTCGGCATTTTGTCGTTACTCGTCTGTCCTAACATACACGTTGAACTCCACACACAATTAAGGCACTTCTGCAGCATCCCACTGACTACAGTTAGTCTAGAACCTTCCTGGGGTCTCTCACAACCACAGGCGGTTTTTACGGTGCAGCCCCGTTTCCAGGTGAGCAGGAGTAGATTACCTTTCGTTACTGGATCTGCTAACTTTAAGAGGGAGTGTCGCACCGTCAAACGACTTCATCACGATAATGTCACCCCCCACCCCGCCTTCCAAAGCCAGTTTGCACCGGTTGGGGCGAAGCTTAGCACGACTGCTTCCAAATATAGCCGAGGCGAGCCTCTACTGCAGCTGGATGCGCCGGGTAGTCTAGTGGCGTTCAAAGGATTTTTTTGATGAATTGTAATATGATAAATATATTATATTAAAATAAATTTGGAAGCTAAACCCGCCTCTGCGTACTAGAATAAAGCACTACCGAGTTTTAGTCACAGCAGTGTGAAACAGGCAGTTTCAGGAAAGCCTGCGCACTGCAAGGTGGTTCTTCAAGGGTTCTTTAGTAAAAGCCGTGTTTTTGTTTAGAACTACGAGTTCTATACAGAACCATATAATGCTTAGAATGAATGTATTTTATGTATCAAAGTGAATGTTTTGTATAACAAAAAGGATTCTTCTTACGGTGTCAAGGTCATAACAATACAACCCCTTTTTTGGTGCTAAATAGAACCATTTTTAAAAAGGTTCAGTATAGAACCATGTACAACACCAATGAAGAACCATTTCTCCATGCAAAGAACCTTTCAAGCATGATGTGGTTCTACACTCTTAAAAAGATGGTTCTTCAGGGGTTCTTTAGTAAAGACAATGGTTCTATATATAATTATGAACACTCCAAGAACCCTTTCATGATTAAAGGGTCTTTGCATCAGGAAAGGGTTCTTCAGATTGATAAAAAATGTGCTGTAGATGGTTCTATACAGAACCTTTTTTGAAAAGGGTTCTTCTATTGTTACAAGCTTGACATCATACATAATAGCAGAACCCTTTTTGGTGCTATATAAAACTATTTTTTGAAAAGATTCTATATAGAATCATGTACAACACATTCTCCATCAGTCAAAAGAACCCTTTCATGATGCAAAGAACCCTTTCTCCATGCAAAAGGTTCTTTGAGTGTTCATGGTTCTATGTAAAACCATTTTCTTTACTAAAGAACGCTTGAAGAATTGTCTTTTTTAAGTGTGTAACATGAAACAGTGAGTAAGTAATTGAGCAGGGATGTAGCTTTTATTGCTGTGGTGCTGAACTCCAGCATATTGAAGTTAAACCAGTGTGCATGAGGTTAAAGTTAATGTCATACTTCTATATTCTATAATACTATATTATATGAGCTCTTAAAATGGTTCCATACACCTGAGAATTCC